ACCGAAAATTTTGAAGAAACTTAAAAACTCCTCAGAGCGATGAGGGTAGCGAGTTTTCCAAGTAGATGATGACAGGGTTTTGTGTTCTCTGATCGTTTTTTGGGAAAACTTTAATTTTTTCAGAACAATAAGAGAACCTTGTTTCAATTTTGTCCCAAATTTAAACGAAAAACGGGTATTGGAAAAAGATGACAAAAGAAGATAAAAAAGACGAAGCAAAGAACGACGAATTTTCTCAATCGATCTCTTAATTTTTTTTTGCATAAAAAACTCTCAGCTTTATAGTATTTTACGTTAAAACGTCAGGAAAAGCGTTTTCTATTTGGATAGAGAAGTTGCCTAGAAATATTGACCTAAAAGTGAAGAATAGACAAATTATTCACAGTGACGACAGTGATGAGTTTTCCAGATAATTGAGTATAAACTTTCGCTTGTTCTGCACGCGAAAATATTTTTGGAAAAACCCACGAAAACTTATCAGTTTTGTCCAAGATTTGAAGCTGCAAAAGATTTTCGAAAAATTTTTACAAGGCGGTTAAGAAGGCGAGTGTTCCAATAATATGTATTTTAAAATTTTTCACAGAAGATACCTGAAGATTGTCAATATTTTTATGTAAAACTTTAGAAAAGAATTCGTAGAAAGAATTGCTTAAGAAAAACTTTGCTAAAACTGAAAAGACCGGAAAAATCTTCAGACCGATGAGGATGGCGAATTTTACAAATGATTTTTTGTACACTTATGCTCTGTGGTCGTTTTTCCAAGATGATCTTAATTTCTTTCGGTAAAATACTGAATTAAATTATTTGGTTTTCGTGCCAAATTCGAAGCCGAAAAGAGTTTTGTAAAATTCCCTGCAAAGCAATGAATGAATTTTGTCGGAAAAGAAGAAAAATCAGAAAAAAATGGGTTTTTGCCATTTTGATTAAAAACTCTTAGTTTTGTGATCAATTTTTGAGAAAATCTTAATGATTTTCGGGTAAAGCGGGGATTAATTTATTTTCGTTTTTGTCCTGAATTCGACGCTGAAAAGGTTTTTCGACAAAATTTTTCAAGGCGGTTAAGAAGGCGTGTTACAATAAAATATAATTTTTATAGTTTTCCACAAAAGGTACCTGAAGATTGTCAATATTTGTAAGTAAAAATTTAGAAAATAATGCGTTTTTTGCGTAGAAAGAATTGCTTAAGAAAAACTTTGCTAAAACTGAAAAGACCGGAAAAATCTTCAGACCGATGAGGATGGCGAATTTTACAAATAATT